GTGTCATAGGTTCGCCATCACTGGTGTAGGGGGTACAGAAGTCAATGTGCAGGCTACAGGATTCAGTGTGGGGAGCTATAGGAGTCAGTGTGGGTGGTGCAGGAGTCAGTGTGGGGGATACAGGAGTCAGTGTGGAGGTTACAGGAGTCAAACTGAAGGCTACAGGAGTCAGTGGCTACAGGAGTTAGTGTGGAGGCTACAGGAGTCAGTGTGGAGGCTACAGGAGTCAATGTGGAGGTTACAGGAGTCAATGTGGGCTACAAGATTCAGTGTGGGCTACAGGAGTCAATGCAGGGGCTATAATACCAATGTAGGGGCTACAGGGATTAAGGTGGGGGCTACAGGAGCAAGTCAGAGCCTCTGTAGAAGTTTTCACATTGGTTGGGTTGGGATATGGAAGGAAGAAGGTGTGCTTCCCCACCCTCATATCTTAGAGCCTCAAAAGAACTCATTACACCATCATTCAAACACCCAGATAGCACGATCTTTACTCTTTGTGCAGACAACATGATGTGGGAAGAAAAGTCACACTCCACAGCAGTTATTGAAGACAGTTAGATATTACACCAGGCGTTAAAACCTGGTACCTTCTTGTCATGATAAAGATTGTAACAAGAACAGGAAATGGCACAGCACAAATCCGTTTTCATGATAATGATCTCATGAATGTAAAGAGCATAGGAAATGGAACAAATGTAACCCATTCCATTACCACCTTCAAACGGTAACCTCCTTGTCCTAGTCACATGCCCTACTTATGGTCCAAGCACAAAGGAAATCAAAAGGCTGACTGTGACACTGGGGAACAAAACCGCCCCCACTTATCTGTGTGCATGTATGTGCTTGCACACACGTGTCTGTCCTCCTTTGACTGCTGATGCACTAGAGAATTCCTTACAGCTGATTCCCTGCCTTTGACCTGAATAAAGCAGGTGAGGCACTGGAGGAACAAAGAAACCTAAAAACCAAGAAGTCATCTGGGAATACGTGCTCTCCTCACCACCCTTTATCGGATGAGGAAACCCTGAGCTTCCCCTAAATAGAAGCAGTCAACAAAGAAGATGACTGTGTGCCTTTCTTCCTTCCAAGCCTCAAAGCTTCTCAGCTTCTTGGGGAAAATGAAGCTTCTGTCTCACGGTGTGTTCTCTCTCCCCTATCTAAAGAGGCTGCAACTTGATTAGGGCTCATCTACAAGCACAAAGGGAGGTCTCAGAAACACAAGGAAGCCAGAACTTGAGGTCAGTCAGGCCAGGCCAGAGTCGGGGCTGCCATCCATTCCTCTTTGACCTGGCGGTGTTCCGCAGGAGGACCTGCCTCCCTCAGAAAGCTCTTTAAGGAATACTATGTGAAATTCATAATACATCATCTCACCCCAGGATGACTACTTCAGATATGAGGGGGAGTAGCGAGGATCGATGGCTGAGTTTGCCAAATAAATACTAGAGAAAAGGAAAGCCAGATTGCCTGGAGCGCTGTGCCCACACCCTGCCCCAACCAAATGTCACTCACTCTGCTCAGCTGGCTAGTAAATCCTTCCATGGCAACCAAGCAACGGCACTATACGTTTTCTCCTCCTGGGGACTAGTCCAGGCAAGCCAGCCTGAATCTACTTTACATTTCAGGCATCCTGGCTGGCTATCCCTTCCAGATGATATTCCAGTTACAAAATGGCCCTGGCTGGTTAAGGAGGAATGCAATCATGTTCCTTGCCCTGGTTACGTGTCACTTGTCAAGTGATGTTGGGAGATTCCCAGGCGATTTCACATCTTCAGATCGGATTGATGGCCTCCCTATCAGATGCCATGCAAAATTCTCCTGTGGGGCGCATCAGTTTCCTAAGTATCATACCTTGATCCTCAAGACAGATTACACTGAAATCATATTTCCAAAGAAAAGAATGAAGCCCCAAGTTTCAAATGGTCTGAAATTAAAGTAGGCGATGAGCACTGAAAAATAATCATTTGAGGACAATGCTACGTGAGAAAAATATACTGGTGAAGTAGTCTCTAACCTCCATTGCCTTCCTAGGAGGTTTTAACTGATTGTATGTGACTTTGATGAATCACAACATAGGCTTGTTTTATTTATTTAAAAACATAATCTTGCCAGGCCAGTGTGGCTCAATGGTTGAGTGTCCACCTATGAACCAGTCAGGGCACATGCCCGGGTTGCGGGCTGGATGTTCCTATCTCTCTCTTCCTTCTTCTCTGAAATCAATAAAAATATATTTTAAAAATACTCTTTTGAAAAGTGATATGTTTGAAATAACTAGAATCTAGGTTTAAATATCTCTCATCCTCTAATTTTTTAAACTGTTTTTTTTCCTGTCTTTTTCATTTCCAAACGAGAGTTTATCTGTAGACATACGTTTACAGCACAACCATTTCATTCTTTCACAATGCTATGGGAGACACTGTGGTTGCTTAAAAAGAGAAATGAAATAAGAGATGAATGAGGAGGCAGGCCTCACTAGCTGTGTAGCCTGGAGGTGAACCGTAGGCATTTCTGAGCTTCGGTTCTCTCATTTGTAAAGTGGAAAGGTTGGTCTGTTTGATACTGACTATTCCCTCTAATTCTAAAATCTAAGAGGGGTTTCTATAAAATCTAAACCCATGACACAGACATCACCTGCATTTGTTGTTGATGTTTTGCTGTGGATTTTTGGTGAATGAATTGAAAGTCTTTCTTTTAGGAGGGCATTATCTTCTGCTTCCATGCTTATTAAAGCTCCAGGTTCCCTATTTCTTACCTGTAGTCCTTTATCTTTACAAGGAGAGGCACTTTGTTGTCCTCAGTGTCGATGTGTGTGCTCAGTGTCTATTTCTAAGAGATAAATACAAAGGAATAGGAAAGAGAATCATGGAGTGAGTCTCACGGAAAGTTTGCAAAGCGCAAGCAGGAGCAAGGGGAAGAGAGGAGGAGAAAGGTATTTGTTAGGACACTACATGTAAAATGTCCAAAGTAAGGGAATTATATCATTAAGAACTACAACTGATTAAAGGAAAGGATTAGTGTTTGTATACATGAAGTTCTAAACCATATTTGAGAAGCAGACTTTTAACTGCTGTTAAACACTAGTACATCAGTTTTAGTTTAAAAATAACATTCTCTGGACATATAATTAGTAATAAAATGTTAGAAATAATTTTCCAATTCAGAAGCATGAGCCAGAAACATCTTTTCTCCTCCCTGTAATGGCATCTATAGATAATCCTGAAATCTCCCTAACAGAGCTGCCCAGCGGGCAGGGCTGCCCCTGCCCTCTGCCGTCCCCTCCGCTCCGCACTCTCTTGGGTAACCCAAGTCTATTTCAAAGGCTTTCGCACTGTGGGACCAGAGATAAGCCTTGTCTCGGGCTTGTGCAGACAGAGTACTGACCACAGCAAGGTGCCATTTCCCATCCCAGAAGTGGTATCAACCGAAAAGGGAACTTTCTCTGATCTTATCCAGGGACTTCATGCCATTTTAAGTGGCTCCACTTCAGCATCCTATTTCCCAATTCCACAGCCATCTTGGTCGCTTGTTTATTTGAACACTTGAGGCGACTCATTTGACGTTATTTCCCCTCTAGAAAAATTAGCCCGGGATTCAGAGCACTCATTGTGTGGAGCACCAACAACAACAACAACAAAAACAAAAACAGGGGGATTGCATGGTGTGTAAAGACAAACTGGGAACCAGATGTCATCTCTGTTAGCAGCTTGTGGCCAGCAGCCTTTCTGTGAATCAAGTGATATCTTCTAATAAGACTTTAGATTCATGGTTTTGTCCTAAATTGGGTTTTAGGGCCAAGATGCCTTTGGCTGATCAAGCAGGTGTGACTTTGTTACCAAAGATTAAGAAGACTATGGAAAAAAAGTAAACCAAACACTACAAAAACTGTAACATTACTATGAGTATAGAAATAGCTAAAAGAGTACAAAAGAACATAGATAGAAAAGTAGTTCTCCCAAAGCTAGTATTTTCACCGCCCACTTGCCAATATAAAGTATCATCTTCCAACACATCTGGGAAGCAGATACATTCTTTAGAAAGATGGGAGACAGAATTACTGTGAGTTGCAGTGGTGATTAGAGAACTGTAGCCAAATAGGAGAAGATTGGTATTTGTATTTGCCAATTCAATTATGGATCTATGCACCTGATCGTATATCTACATAGACTTTATTTATGAACCACATGAAATATGTTTAAGTGAGAGCTTGATATTTATATCAATGCATGTGAGTCGTGGTGAGAAGCTTAACATATGTGTGGTAGTCTCTACCTTTGAGGTAATCTGAGAAAAGAAAAGTCAATTAATTATACATGATCGTGTTCACATGATTGTACATAACAAATCTCTAACCTCATTTCAAGCGGGGAAAAGCGTGCATTGGTCAAGCTGGAAACAGGTGTGCACTGATATCTCTTAAAATGGCCTAAGGGCTCCATTTGCCTTTTTAAAAAAATGAGAACGGTTTTATGACTTAAAGTGGATTTTGAGCTGAGTATTGGGGAAAAGTTTAGAAATGAGTGCAGATGAAAGTATGGCTAAAGGCCAGGTCATGGAGAAGAAGCAGGTAGGAAAAATAGAGCAATAGCCAGGTATAACAATGGGAATGTTGATAGATGACCTCAAAACCCAATTCAGGCACTTAAGGGATTTTCAGCAAAGAATTATGTGATCCCAGCAATGGAAACTAGTTTGCAGCATTTAGATGAACATATCTGTAGCAAAAAGGGTCTTAAATATGAATGGTGAACCAAGAAACATCAAAGATAATCAAAACTGAGATGAGAAATGTGACTAAAACAATGTAGAATAGCAAAGTATTATCAATGTGTTAAACTCTGACATTATTACAAACTAGATGCCCGATGCACAAAATTTGTGCAAGGGGCTTGGCCCTCCCAGCCCTGGCTTCATCCAGAAGGTCATCCAGAAGGACATCCGGAAGGATGTCCAGTCTAATTAGCATATTACTCTTTTATTATTATAGATTGGAATTCACTAGGACCTGATATCTCTAAATTTTCTGGGGTCAAAGGCTGGCTCTGTCTACAGTTAACACAATAAAATAATCTTCTCTTCTTTTTCCTCTTCCTCCCTACACATTTGCTAATGGATTTCCTTCTAATTTAAAATAAGTAATGTATAACATAAACATTTGAATTATATGATATACAATCCTATATTTTCTGATTCAAAAAGTACTTCAGTTTCTTATAATGCCTTAAGTTTATTATTAAAAATGTTGACAGGGCTGAGTAAGGAGAGTGCCAAATAATAATGTTTAGTAATTACTAGGCATCTTAGAAGTTGAGTACTATGCAAGGAAGGGGCTTTCTATGTTTTTCTAAATATTGAATTATTGTTCTCTATAGATATTCCAGTGCATCTCTTTCTGTTTTAAATAAAAACTTTACTGCACATTGCATATAATATTGTTCATCAACTTAATTTTTTTGAAAGAAGGAATGATTTGAGGCAAAAATTAGTGTGAAATGGTAGCCACATGCAAATGGAGATCTTAAGAAAACATAAGAAATTTAGGGATTTGTTGGACAAGTTTAACATTAAAGTATATAGGTAGTTATCTAGATAGCAATTTTATTTTGAAAAAAAGAAAGAAGAAAGAAAGAAAGAAAGAAAGAAAGAAAGAAAGAAAGAAAGAAAAGGAGAAAGAAAAGGATCCCACAAAGGATCCTTTTAATTTTAGAATTAAAAGTTCTATAGACATGCATGGTTGGATTTTAGTAACATTAGGGCAGAAAAGCTAGTATTTTGAATCATTTGATGTACTTTCTTAGGCATTACTGCAATAATTGTAATCTACTTCTGTTTCCACGGGTGATGAGTAAATTTTTGTACGATTAGGAATCTTGAGCAATATTAGCATAGATGCAAGATAATCTTAAGCAAGACTCATATTTCTGTATATGACTGGAAAAGCTAGGCCTATATCTTTAGATATCTTGATTGGAAGATTCATTAGTTATAAAAGAATTATATTTTGAGTCCACAAACACATTTTGAGTACATAGGTGTGTAGGTCATGGTGCACATTCCCAAAGAAGCATCAAGTTGAAAGCCCTGAAGATGCATTTTCTAAAATATAACTTACATTTATTTTTAGAGAGAGAGGAAAGGAGAGATTGAGAGGGACAACAACAACTCTATGTGAGAGAGAAACATTGATAGGCTGCCTCCTGCACATCCCCTACAGAGGATGGGGCATGTGCTCTGACCAGGAATCAAACCAGCAACCTTTTGGTGCATAGGACAACTCCCAACCGAGACACACCGGCCAGTGCTGAAAATGCATTTTTCTACAATGCTTCACATTAAGACAGAAAATACTAGCTACTCCAGAAGAAATATGCTAATGTGTCAATTACTCTACATTCTCTGGCACTTTTTGAGGTGTCTCTTGATGTAGTGCATGGGATTAGAAAAGATAATTCCAAGTCACATTAAGCAAGTAATAAATGTTTGCTGTCTTTCAATTTAAATAAGAGAGCTGCCCAATATTATGTTTTAATCTGTCTTAAGTAATAGAGCAAACTAAATTGGAATTTCTAAAATTGCCAAGTGTCATTACAAATAAAAGGAAAAGAAAAAATCATCTATTCTAGGTATATGATATTGTGGTATTGTATTGCTATCTGTAGAGCAGGTTTTATATGCTGCCCATTTAACAGAATATATAATATGGTAATAGGTGTGCAAGCAGGCAATCTCCCTAAGGGAAGACTGCAGAGGGATCTGTGTTCACCAAAGTACTCTACATGGTGCATCAGAATCAATGGAACAAAAATACAAGGAGACCTTGTAATTATTTCTGGTAACATCAAATGATATATTGTGTTGAGAAGTACAGGCATATTGATAACAATCAATATAATGCAGTTAAAAATAAAAACATAAAAACCAATGTAAATTCAGTCAAACCCTGAACTCAGGCTACTCAAAACTATAAATGGCATCTGAAACAGGAATGGCCATCCAGAAAACTTCTGCATATCTGATCCAGCATTACCAATGCTTAGCAGTCAGATGAAAAGTCCTTTCTTCAACTTTTTTTCTTACTCTAACGCATTCCAGTACCATTTCAATGATACCTCCCATAGTGCTTTCAAGTTTAATAGAGCTTAAACAGACCACATTTAAGGACAGAACTCATGATTTGGAAATGCGGAGAAGCAGAAGTTCACAAAATGTGGAGAGAATAGAATATCACTTGGCATTTGTGTAAAGGCGTTTTCCCTCCGTGTACTTGCAAACCATTACCTTGTTTTATTTTGACAACATTCCTATGATATGGGTAAATGTGGCCTTTAAAATTAATCAAATTTCACTGTAGAAAATGAGCTGGCTACCTGCTTAAGGAGAGAAATATGGAATTTGCATTCAGAAAACAATTCTGCCACCTTGGTGTGCTTTCAATAAAACTTGCTGCTTGCCTTTTAAAAGTAGAGGCAGGATGGAATTCAACAGAAAATTGGAAAGTACCATGAAAAGAAGAAATTATTTTAAAAAGAGAGACAGACAGGTGGTTTGCCAGGTAAAGATTATGCCGTTTTATAGTACTTCAGGCTGATTTGGTTGGCATTCGTAACCCATCCCCTCACACTTTGGAGAAGTAACATTTTTGCTTACAGTATTTTTTTACACATGTTACATGCTTTGAAAAGTATTCTTTACTACATATCTCAAAAAGAAGTTTAAAATATCTGAATTTCAATGAATCATGATATAAATGCCTCCTGACCATGATCCTCACTCTTTTTCCCTAAAATCACCATTGTTATCATTTCCAGCCTGGAGGTATATAACATTTG